TAAAAACCTCACTTCTTCGGATGAGGTTTCTACTCACGAAAGCTTATGCCCAAATAAATCTGTTAGTCTTTAAGGTGCCATCAGACTCCTTGTTGTTTTTGTAGATACAGACTAACACTGCTACCCCCTGATACTTGACACCATGAAAGATAACACAGTAAGTAGCAATGTGCACTAGTACACAGCAGAATTATATGAAAGCTGATTAATCAATATCCAAGTTACAAGTGTGCAGTAATATTTAGAGCAGCAAAATGAAAAACCAGAAATACTGCTGAGATCTGGCTCTGATCACCACTGCAAACATGCACATTTACAATCAGGAAAATTCAAAAGTAAACGCATTTTGGGGCGGGGGGGAGGAGAAGGGAGTACCTCTAACATCTGAAGTGTTCTAAAAGTATACTCTTCAACTTAAAGTAGTTTGGGTTTTTTTAAGTTCAGAATTAACTAGTTTACCTGCTAGGACCTGAATTTCCCCTGACGTATTTGGAACATCACTCATACACACAGCAGGCTAAGCAATGCAGCCCTCTGCCCCACATTAGATGTTAATGATGCAGTCAATTGCTGCAGGAGAAAGAACTGTGGCTGGGTTCCAATGTGGTAAATAGTCTTTCAGTACACGGTTTATACATTCTTAATCCTACAGGTGTATTCTGTTAGTGATTTGGGACCTGAATCAGTTTATTTCTACATTTTATTAAAGAGCATTTCAAATAATCTTAAAAATGACTAATTTCAGAGTACACAGAGACACACAATTTCAGTTATACCATACCTGCAGTTGGATCTCTGGACAAGGTATTATCCAAGGCACTTGTTATAGACTGGAAAAGATTCATTTTCTGAGTTTGCCCTGCATGAGAGACACATTATTTAGCTATTTATCTGTTTAAAAAAATAAAATAAAACAAAACTTAGTAATAAGAATTTAAATGAGCCAGCAGCCACTAAAGCCTTTAAAAGGAAAATGCTATTGAGGATCAAAAGGACTGTTTTGCTGCATAGACTTTAAATGGATGAGATGCAGTTTGGCACACTTTATAATCCCAGTAACTGCAATAATGATGGCCAGTATTTCAGATCTCTTTCAAAAGTTACATACTGATGATAGCCAATGCTGTAACTTCCTTCGGGCCTCCAGGTACAAGAGAACAGATGTAACTTTGCAAGGCATTTTCAAAGGCTAGCACCTACTGGTTATAAGACAATAAGCTTACCTAAAACTCTTTCCTTTTGAAAAATAACCCACTCTGTTAAAGTTTACCAAAAACCTTGCCCAAATTTCATTCCACGGCCTTCTTTCCTACAGGATACCACAGCTATTAAACCCAGGATCCTCGTTAACATAGGACATTTCTGTAAGAGCGCAGAATTAGCCTTACATTTCCTCCACTTCTGGGGACCATGTAGATGGTGTCTTTGAATGCAACTGAAATGAGGGTAGCAGAATGAAGTCCAGATAGCAACAGAGTGGGGGGAAAAACAGTGATGCTGAATAGCCATAACTACAAGCATAGAGGGAGCAATAGGACATCGGGGTGCTATTACTGAGGTCTCCCACATAGCACATTTTTGAAGTTTCAAATCTTCACTTTTACACTACTGATTTCCCATACCTCATCCCAATATGCTGTAAAGAGGACAAAAATTTCCTGGAAATGCAGATATTGTATAAAAATGGATAGCTAGCAGCCACTCCACCTTCTATTATTAACCAGTCAGATTTTTACAAACTAAGCAGGGTTGGGTCTGGTCAGTAACTGAATGGGAGACCTTACTCCTGGGGGGATTCTGCGAGACTGCACAGCCACAGAAAACTGCTCCCCTTCCCCAGCACAGATTTCCTGCTTTTCCCCGCAGAAAATGTCAGGGAAGCAAAGGAAAGCCGTGCCCGGGAGGGGGCAACCACCATGAGTGCAGTTTTTTGGGGGTATTGCACCCCAAACAGAAGCAAGGCATGGGAGGGCATAGGGGGTTACATGCCACTGGGCCCCCCCCCACACACACACGCTCATTTCTGCAAATGCAGAGCTGCCCAGCTAGGAGGCTGTGTCTTGGGCTCTGCAGCTGAATGCAGCATCCTGGGTCCTAGTGCCAATTGTGCTCCCCTTCTGTGTGCTGGTAGCCTTCCTATTTTCTGTGGAACAGTGAATGGCTGCAGTGGGGCTGTATAAGGTGGGTGGGGGAAATGAAGCAGTGGGGAAGGAAGGGGGTGGAATAGGGCAGGGGGATGGAGAAGAAAAGGGGATAAGGGAATCACGGGGAGGGGGAGGGAGCAGAAGCCTGGCATGCAGCATCCCCTCAGCAGCAGCTAGAGCTCCCCTGTTAAACCACCCACCCCCCACCGAGCACAACCACCATCATCTGGATCCCCTGCAGAGTCCCATTGTCCCTGCACCCAGAACCCCCTAACAAGCCCCTGTGCATCCAGATCTCCCACTGAGCTGCCTGTACCCAGACTGCCCTATACAGAAATCTCTCACCCCACACTTGGATCCCCCTACACTAGGATCCTGCTGGGCTGAGTCTGCCCAGCCATACCTGGTGCGCCTGGCACAGAGGGGCAGGCCCCCTGGGTGTTTCTGGGCCAGGCCCAGCCCTTGCACCGTGCTAGGGTCAGGTGCAGCCTCACTGCCGAGTCCCTGTACTGGGAGAGGTGGGGGTTTCAGGGTGATCTTCCACCTCAATACAGCCAGTGGCCTGTGCTCCCCACTGCCATTCTGGGGCCACATTTATTTATTGACAAATAAAATTTGCAGAAGTTAAAAATATTGTGCACATAATTTTTAAGTTTTTGGCGCAGAACTCCCTCAGGAGTAAGACCTACAAAGAACTATAGGAACTGATGATGACAATTCTTTAGCTGGTAAAACTTCCCCCTCTGAGTTATTACTAAATCTGTACCCTGCTGTAGATAGGCTTGTCTTCTGAACAGTAAAATGGAGTTCCAGGCCATTCATTGTAGTAGTAGTTGGAACCTGGATATCTTGAAAAATTCTAACTAACTGAGTTAATTTTAACTCTCTAAACAACCCATCAGTTTAAATTTAGTAAAGACAGCTTTTCCACTTCCTCTCAAACAGCTGTATATATTGCTGTACATGGCTAAAGAATTGCATCATTCCAGCCCAGAGCTGGCTGCTCTGATCCCTATATATCCCCAGTATTCGTTAGTTGTCATTCGTAATACACTTTGATCAGAGGATGGGGCAAATGCTATGGAAGCTCCAAGCAGCAGGCATAGATGGAATGATATAGTTGTAATTTAAAAAAAAAAAAAAAGTGTCAATCTCTTGCCCCTCCCCATACTAAGTTATTCACACTGACAACCCAGTCTTTCCAGAACTGGGGATAAATAAATCTCTGCTGCTCACCTAGCTTCTGAATTATTCTCATTTGTTAGTAGTTTAATAGTTACTGCTTTGACCTATCTGAAAGGCTCCCTACTAACTCCCTTCAAGAAGAGGGGAACCGATGCACCCTTCGTATCTGAGCGCTGGAACTAGGTGAAGAGAATGCAGTAGAAATTTTTTTTTTTTTTAAGTCTACTGTGTGATGGCATAGTCAACATCAGCATCACACAGTTCATTTTTACCACCTTCTATATGAATGCAAAGTCATACTGCATGTCAATCAAGGAACCAAAAGTTTTCTAGTCATAGAATTAACTGGTTCAACACAAAACAGGCTTCCCCACCGTGGCCCCTCCATTACACCCTCCTGCATCTCAACCGGAGGTGGGTGGAACTAAGAATAAATAAACCTATAGCCCTGATCTTGCTGTATCTTGAGTGCCTTTATCGCCTATTAACTTCAGCAAAAGTTGAGGGTAGAAAGAGCTAAAACCAAAGTAGCCAACCTAATGACCCCTTTTCAGAGGAGCAGAGAAATTCATATTGAAAAAGGGATTATCCTACAGAACATGGGTACCTCCCAGGACATCTGAACATCAGAAATACTATGCCAAGACACTGAATTGCGTCCATTCTATTCATTTTCAGGATACTTGCAGTTACTGAAAACTATGCAGAAGTAACTTGTAAACCTTTACTGGACAGAAGTCTCCACTGAAGCAAAAGCTTATTCCCTGCAGTGTGATCTGTGCCCAGTGGATGAAAGAGTGAGATAAATGCATACTGTTGCTAAGACCAACACTCACCATTAAGGAGCTTACAGAGGTTCACTATTGTGGGGCCCCTCAGGAAGGTAACCAGGAAGGGAATGGGTCCTGTTTATATACATACATACATACATACATACATACATACATACACACACACACACACACACACACCTTAGAACCTCAAAGTTATGAGCACCAAAATTACAAACTGAGCAGTCAACCACACACCTTATTTGGAACTGGAAGTACACAGGCGGCAAAAGAGACCAAAAAAAAACCCCAAAAAACACACAAATACAGTACAGTACGGGGCTAAACATGAACTACTAAAAATAAATAAAAGGAAAGCAGCATTTTTCTTCTGCATAGTAAAAGTTTCAAAGCTGTATAAAGTCCATGTTCATTTGTAAACTTTAGAAAGAACAACCATAATGTTTTGTTCAGAGTTACAAACATTTCAGCATTATAAAACAACCTCCTTTCCCAAGGTGTTTGTAACTGAGCGCAGGTGGAGGGGTCAGAGTGAAACTGACCAGACTAGTCAGTTTCATAGCCACTGTGAAGAATCTTATGGGCAGTAGAACAGCAGACAAGAGTCATGTCAATTTTCATTCTGCATCTTCCTGGGAAAGATATGAGGAGAATCAGAGCCAGGAACTATTCTTTGCTTTTGAGGCCATCTCCACAATGAGTAGGCTTAAAGAAATTAGGGGGATACATGTCATCTGCTACACCACCTAACAAAAAACAAAATTCTGACATGATCATTATGGGAAAACCTATTATCTCTGTGACACTGTACCCTATAGTCTTGAAACTGATATTATAGGATTATGACATTATTAGACTATATTTTATGCAAGACAGGTCATGTGAGAGGTCATTGGAAAGGTTAGGATTTGCTGAATATGATTATTTTATTTGTATGCATGCATCATTTTTATACCTGAAGTTGTGAATATTGACTATAAATCTGTATTTCAAAATGTAGTTACACCTGGGGAACACCCACTAGACAAGATGCTTTCATTCTAGATAGCTGGGTTGGGAAGGGCCTATTCAGGGAAATGAACCATTAGGAAAAAACAATGGGCCTTCCTAAAGATAAGGAAAAAAGGGTAGGAATAAATGGTCAGTTTTCAGAATGCAGAGAGGTAAATAATGGTGTCCCCAAGGGGTCTGTACTGGAACCAGTCCTATTGAACATATTCATAAAGATCTGGAAAAAGGGGTAAGCAGTGAGGTGGAAAAACCTGCAGATGACAACTATCTTGATAAGTTTTGTAAGTCCTAGGCAGACTGAGAAGAGCTACAAAGGGATCTCTCAAAACTGGGTGAGTGGGCAACAAAATAGCAGATGAAATTCAATGTTCATAAATGCAAAGTAATGCACATTGGAAAACAATCCCAACTATACATATAAAATGATGGGGTCTAAATTAGCCGTTACCTCTCAAGGAAGAGATCTTGGAGTCATAGTGGACGGTTCTCTGAAAACATCCACTCAATGTGCAGCAGCAATCAAAAAAGGCTAATAATGTTGGGAATCATTAAGACAGGGATAGATAAGACAGAAAATATCATATTGCCCCTATATAAAACTATAGTATGCCCACATCTTGAGTGCTACGTACAGATGTGGTCACCCCATCTCAAAAAAGATATATTGGAATTAGAAAAGGTTCAGAAAAGAGCAACAAAAATTATTAGGGGTATGGAACAGCTTCTGTATGAGGAGAGATTAAGACTGGGACTTTACAGCTTGGAGAAGAGATGTCCGGGGGGGGGAGAGATATGATAGAGATCTGTAAAATCATAACTGGTGTGGAGAAAGTAAATAAGGAAGTATTATTTACTCCTTCTCATAACGCAAGAACTAGGGGTCACCAAATAAAATTAATAGGCAGCAGGTTTCAAACAAAAGGAAGTATTTCTTCACACAACACACAGTCAGTCTGTGGTACTCTTTGCCAGATGTTGTGAAGGCCAAGACTATAACATGGTTCAAAAAAAAGAACTAGATACATTCATGGAGGATAGGTCCATCAATGGCTATTAGCCAGGATGGGCAGGCATGGTGCCCCTAGCCTCTATTTGCCAGAAGCTGGGAATGTGTGACAAGGAATGATGATTAGCCCTGGCCGGGATGATTTAGCTGGGAATTGGTCCTGCTTTGAGCAGGGGGTTGAACTAGATGACCTCTTGAGGTCCCTTCCAACTCTGATATTCTATGATTCTATGATTCTAAGGGATGGATCACTTGATTATCTGTTCTGTTCATTCCCTGGGGCACCTGGCATTGGCCACTGTCGGAAGACAGGATAGTGGGCTAGATGGACCGCTGGTCTGACCAAGTATGGCTGTTCTTATGGCCTTAGGAGAAGCTTATCTCCCACCTGGGGAGTCTTCTTGAGAACACTACAGCCTCTGAGTAATGGCTATTATGACTCTACAAAGACATGTGATGTGACCACATGTCTCTAGACTCCCTCTTGGGATGTCGGTGTTTTTCCCAAGACCCATCTGGGGAACCAAGCTTGGAAACAAAGCATTCCCACCATATGCATAAGGCAGGAATTGACATCATCTGGTATTCTTCAGTTCGCCACACAAGACGACTCCTGGAAACACTTGAGGAACAAAGACTGAACTGGGGGAAGTGCTGGACCCAGGCTAAAAGGATTTTTAGCCTGTGACTGGAACACCTGGGGATTCCAAGCTGTAAGCAAGTGCGGCTTGCCCCTTAAGAATCTGCAGCCTGCTTGCATCACCTCTCATGGTGAGAAACTGCTATTCATAGCCAATCTATTTAGTATATTAAGTTTAGTTTACGTTTTTTGTTTATTTGCTAGGTAATCTGCTTTGACCTGTTTGCTATCACTTAAAATTTATCTTCTGTAGTTAATAAACTTGTTTTTGCTTTATCTAAACCAGTGTGCGCGAATCATAGCTCAAGGACAAAAGGCTGTTGCATATTCCTCTCCACAGTGAGGGAGAGGGTGAATTTTATGATCTTATGCTATACAGTTCCCTGTTCAGCGCAAGACAGTATAACTTTGGGTTTATACTCCCCAGGGCTTCGCAGTTTGTCACAGTAGTACAGTGTAAAAGGGAGCCCAGGCTTGTGGGTCAGGGGAACTCAGTGGCACCCCAATTCCAGGTGGCACCCTGGGGGGAACCTGTCACAATCTCTTCTGAACAGAGCCCTGACTGTTAGGCTGTCTGCAAACTTTTCTCCGCTGTTGGTAGCAACTCCACAACGTGGAACTGAAGTGCCAAGTGTCTCCTGCCCAAATACCAGAACCTGCAGCTTCAACATACACTGAAAATTTCTACAATTGCAGTGATGTGTCAAAATTCTGTGGCATATTGGAAATTTGAGGGCAATGTAAGATTAATTGAATATTATATGAAAATAATTGTATTATTATTCTCACCATTAATTCTATGCAAATGGCAAACTGTGAATTGAACTGAATCTGCCACAGAATTTCTAGCTTGCTATAACATGCTGCAGAACTTAGGGCCAGCTTGCCACCGAGTGCATGGGAACTTGGCTACTTTATAGCTAGGCTTGACAGGATCCAATTTAAATCAGCAGATGTCAATAAACATCCATTTTAGCTGACACACTGATATCAACAACAAAAAAATCCACCATAACAGTCAGCATTGAATGCACCCTCCTGCAGAGACCCCCAGTGCCAAGGGCCCCCAGTGCCACGGGCTCATCCTCCTCCTTGCAGCCCTGGCTCCACCAGACCAGAACCACTGCCTTCCCTGCCTGTTTCCTCCAGCTGTCTTGGGCCCTTCAGCCTTACAGAAAGTCCTCTACAGCCCCACTGTCAGCACTGCCACAACAGTAACCCCACCACCAACCTCTAACTTCCCATAACTGTAACAATAAAAGTTGGCAAAAATAAAAATCACTATTAATCAAAACTACAAAAAAAAATCAAAGTCTGACAAGCCCATTTACAGCAGACCATAGAATATCAGGGTTGGAAGGGACCTCATGAGGTCATCTAGTCCAATCCCCTGCTCAAAGCAGTACCAATCCCTAGACAGATTTTTGCCCAAGATCCCTAAGTGGCCCCCTCAAGGATTGAACTCAACCCTGGGTTTAGTGGGCCAATGCTCAAACCACTGAGCTA